TTACCGCCATATTGCAAGGTGTGTCTTTACCACCATAATTATTATTTTATCAACCATGTATAGTAAAGTTATAATATTGGAGAGATCTGAGTTAGCATTACTTGAATGTTCAGAAACTCACTAACTATAGCCTTCGCTTCCGCAGGCCATCAAAGTATAGTGATTCTTTATACTTTTTCACCTTTGTGGCGAATGCAGACCTCACAAGTGAGTCAAGGGAGAGGAGGTGAGTCTCTCAATCAATCGGGCGTGTAACGGCCCACAACCCTGTAAACTGCATCCTTGTTATCCTCACTCCGAGCTGTGAGTAACCAGTTGACCGTGGGCGTCCGCGTAGTCCACCACGCGTAAAAAGTTTTTTTCACGCTCCCTGCTACCAGCGCTGGTCTCGAACTCGGGAACTCATGATTCGCGGGCAGTCCTGCAAAACAATCGGCCATATGCGTTGGCCCAAGTAAGTATGTAAGTACGTATGAGCAAGAATAACTGAAGACTAGCGTGCACCTCCGCAGCTGGCTTTTACTTGTATATGGGATGATCCGCGGCGGAATCGTTTGCTGATATGTCATATCTCAGAACGCGTCTTGTATCTGGTAAACAAAACACGAAGATCCATGTGCTGGAAGACCCCCTTCATCTGGAACTCTTTTTTATGGCCAGTCCCAAGGAACATTTTCTCCTTTTCTCTCGTTTCCGCGGCTTTTGACTTGATGTGTATGATTCATGACCCTCAGAAAAGGTAGTATACGGAACAGCTTGAAAATGCATAATTCCTCTAGAAAAACTTTGTGGATCAGTGTCATTATTTTATTAATTGTATTGATTTATTTGAATTCGGTATCTCAACAGCACAATGTACAACTTGGGAATATCCAATTTACAGAATATGATGTTCTTGTATTACGTGATCCGTTGAATAAGCTACGAAACACTTGTTCATTTATTTGTATTTATTTGAATTCGCAACTTCAAACGGGCAAGAACCCAATAACATGAAAGCGAATGTGATGATGGCTACGGCCATGGGGAGAATAAGGATAAAAATTTAGGGGATGATCTTCGTCCGGAACTGCAGGGCGTGATGAATGACACGGACGTTAAGTGAATTCCATAGCACTGCACCCCTGCAAGCAAAACTTTCTTCTCTTGCCATGGCTGGCTAACGCCCCCTCCTTTGCATTGGCTTCTGCCATTGGACGGTGAAATAAATAAAAACGCCCCTGACCTGCTGCAGAACGGGAAACTGGCACAGACAGACCCATGGCCGATTGGGGCGAGTATGGCCAGGTGCAGCGGGAGTGAGCAGGGCTTGCAGTTCTGGATTTGCCAGGGCTTATCGACAGCGCCACACAAGGTATACGAGCTTCTGGGTGAAAACTTCTGCCCAACGGAACACTTCCACGCACTCCAGCAGAGCGCGGGCGGAGCACAAGGGGGGGGGGGAGGTTGGCCGAATACCGCCCGAACCCCATTATTCTGGAGGACTTGAAGACGATCAAGGTACTTTTGTGGCAGGGAGCTCGAATACGCGTTGGAGGCAGACATCAGGTCAGACATGATCTGCGACCAGCGACATGAAGTGCGTCATGCGGGACTGGTGGTTCAGGCAGCGACGCATTCTCCAGAGCGCCCCGATCTTCTGGGAAACGCGTGCGGAGCATTTGGCAATGTGAGCGTTCCAGGAAATGCAGGAGTCAATAGTTACGCCAAGATAGCGACCAGTGAGCGCACTAGGCAATGGAGTGCCATTGCAGACGGCCTGTAAGTCTGCAGTGATCTGACGACCGGCAGGAATCGGCACGACCTGGCTCTTTCCAGCATTTAGGATCAGGCCTCGATCTTTCATCCAGTCAGTAAGGGTTGAAACCGAGGCAGATAAGTCATTTGATACGTACCGTGCTGACCTCCGGCTGCACACGAGCGCAATATCGTCCGCGAATTGACTCGATTCGGATTGGCCAACTACGGTGGGGACCTCCCGGGTATAAAGGCTAGCTGAATAGAATGGGACCCAGGACCGAACCCTGGGGGACACCACTTGTGCACGCTGATGTAGAGCTAGTCTGTTCACCCACACAGACGCTTTGGGTACGAACCGAGAGGTAGCTGGCAAGCCAGCGCAGGGCAATACCAGACACACCAACGGAATGGAGATCAGCAAGAGTGTTGTATTTTTGGACGTTATCGAACGCTTTGGACATGTCTAACAGACAAACACCTGTGAATAGTCCCTGATCTTTGGCTGTTAAAATACGATCGGACATTAGGACTAGTGCGTCTTCGGTGGAGTGCCCACGCCTGAAAGCAAACTGGGCAGTCGGTAACGACGCTGTGAGGTCGAGGAAGGCGATAATCTCCTTCTGAACAAACCTTTTTTACCAACTTGGAGAGTATGGGTAAAAGGGACACAGGGCGAAAGTTGGTTGGCACGGATGGATCACGAGCTTTGTACAGCGAAACGACGTTAGCTAACTTGAACCCCAAGGGGACATGGCCGCGCGAGAGCGAAACATTGAATAAGATGGTGACAGACGGTGCCAAGAAGTCAGAGCAGAACTTGAGGATTGTCCCTGGCACGCCATTGCTCCCTGTTGCCTTAGTGGGATTAACTTGCCGGAATAGCCGTTCAACAGCATTGATTCTGACATAGGAGAATTGGGGAAGTGAAGTGCGCGGTTGAGGCCCAAGGGGAACAGACAGTGTTTGCGGTCGACAGTTGTCAGTAACCACGCGGTGGAAAGCTGAGGCGACATCTTCGGCGGTAAAAGTTGGTTCTACATGGAGACGGTCTCTAAAAGTAACGGTGTTTATGGTGCGCCAAATCTTCTTGGTGTTTCCAGCGTTGGCTGCACATTGCGCCTGGAAGTAGGTGTTGCGCCTCTGGCGGTATGCATTTCTAGCTTCCACACGGGTTTGCTTGAAGCCAGTGTGGAGTGCAGCATTTGCCTTGTCTCTCCGCCACCTCCTGTGGAGCCGATTTTTGCATTGGCCCGGATGATCAGCTGGAAGAGGTGCCGATCCGACCAGGGTGGGAACTGCTTCCGCTGGGCAGTGGAACGCTGGAGAGGAGCATGTTTGTCGAGGACGGCCATGATTTTAGAGTGCCTGACTGTCCACATATCGTCAACTTTAGTGTTCGTGGGCCAGGTAGCAGGCATGTGCATCCTCCGTAGGTTACGGAACGGTTTCCTTGAATTACATGCTCGCTGGGACACTGGAACGTGCAGGGAGTCTCACACGCTAAGCGATCATCAGAAAAAAGTAATGAGTGAATCTAAAATTGAGCCTCCCAAGTTGGGTGGTCTGTTGCTTTGCGTCATCGGGTTGTAGTGGGTCTGGTATATCCTATAGCCTTATAGGCGTTTCACACTCACGTCTTTATTCGCGTCTTCGTCTTCGTTGCCTAGGCGATCCCGGGGAATCCCCAAAACGTGAGCTTCAAAACGCAGACGCGGCCCTATGGGCAGAGTCTTCGGCCACGTCTTCGTCTTTTTTGTCGTCTTGAACTCTTGTCTGGCCTATCCGCATGCGCATAGATCTTGGCGGGGAAATTTAAAGTGAGCATGCAGCCTGCTAGCTGCATCTGTCAAAAGAATTTTCGTCTTCCGTTCCGTTCTCTTCGAATTTGACATTGAGGTTCCGTTCTTTTCTTTTCATACAGGTGCCTTTGTTCGTACCTTCACCTTCACCATGACGAAAACGTTTGATAATGAGGCCGAGGCTTGCCTGTTGCGGATTTGGTGCCTGCGCTTCTTTCTAGATGACCGAATTCCAGACAGAGGACATATTAGCATGTCAATAGGGACATGGTCAAGCTGTTCATATGCAATCGCTCGATCGGTAAGCAATTGCCCAAGGCCGCGCCACAAAAGCAAAAGGAAGAGCCGAAGCACGCGTGCTTCCATCGCAGGGCGTAATATTCTTCACCTACAAAAGGGAAATAATGATGACCACAAAACTAAAACTGAGAACTGTTTGGTCTTCCTCGAGGCTGGCTGTTACATGGTGTGGAAACTACAGAACTGCCCAAGATTTTATTATTTTGAATCTACTCGCATGCCGTTATTTTTTTGGCCATGGACTGCTAAAAATGTTCCTGATTGTTGGCAAAACGATGTGTTCGATGTATGTGTGTGAATCGACTTGTGCAGCAAGTCGACGTTTTGGCTGAAAACGACGTCACAGAAAGACGCGAGTGTGAAACGGCTATTACTAGGTTCGTCATCATCCAGTGACTTTTGGGCATTCCTTTTTGCTCTGGGACGTACCTCGTGCTCTTTTTCGTCGCGGCTTCCTTCCCCTCTTGACCTTTCCCGACCTGAGCCTTCCAAGCTGGAAGGTGGTTGTTGGTTTGCACCTCGGAGAAGTGTAGGAGCTAGGTTTCAGGTCGTTGAATGTCTCAGTGCTCTTTGTCAGTTTTATGCCATTTTATCGCACTCGCTAACTGTATAAAATCTGGTTGCGCGGGTAGACAGTTTATAGTCATAACTTGTAACATTATTTTTGTCCTTTCTTCTTATCCGTAAGAAAATTTAAATGAACTCGGATGGAGAGCCAAGGATTATTTTTATAAAGTGAAAAGGACTTAAAGGACTGATGATGCCCAATGGGCGAAATATTGGCAAACTTGGTTATTTATTTGGTGCAGCTGAGAGCCTGTTGCCGGAATGGCGGTGTTTTCAAGTGCAAGGACTTAGGAACTACAAGTAACACTATAATGTCCACTAACATCACCAGTTACTAAACAATCAGCTCATGCGATAACATTGCACGACACTGACCGACGGTTCTGACGTTCTACAACAAACGAAAAAAGAGTGCTAAAGCTGTTAGCCAGTTAGTTGTAGAGCGTCAGTACCGTCGGTCAGTGTCGTGCAATGTTTTAGCATGAGCTGATTGTTTAGTAACTGGTGGTGTTAGTGCACATTATAGTATTACGTCTAGTTCCTTGCTCCTTTTTTACTTTTTAAAGAAAGTTTACATTCATTTCTTTCACTCACCTGTTTGGCACTGCTGTCCGGTAAGGCCAGCTTCACAGTAGCATGTGGGTCTTCTCTGTGTAGAGTTGTGAAGACACGTACCGCTTACCCCACAAGGTAATGCGTCTGGTGCTAAGTCTGCAGGGCACGTTGCGTTGCGAGCTGAGGGTAAGAGTAGGAGAAAACGCACATGGAGCAAATATAAACAAGTGGACTAATAATTATTTGAGAATAAATTTGCAAGAGTTATGAAGTTAGTTTGCGCCAAGGTAACAGGATGATAGGCAGTCATGCAGCACAGCACCAAATAAATCAATACCAAGCACCATTCGCCACAGTTCCATGCCCTTTGGGGCCAGGAAATTTTGTCAATTTGTACACCATGATTCGCAGTAAAACCCATTGTGACTAGACTAAGAAGTGTGATAAATACGCCTGTCTGGTGCCCATTGAGGAATTCAAAGCATTTTATAGGGAATCACACAGAACCAAGAAATACATACCCACGCAGGTTTTCAAACTATTCACCAGCCTCAAGTTGAAACCGAGCAGCAACTCCAGCACAATATCTCCGAGTGTTGATATTTTCAACTCGTCCAACTGGAACCTGGTGACAAGGGAAGCGGTGGAATAGGCCTGTGCCTCCGTTGGACTAGCACCTGCCAATATCAGCCATTGCTCTAGGCAGTTATATGGTGGGGGCGAGGTGGGATCAACTGAAGACACATTAGACACAAGACCAGAGAGGAAAGCAATATTGCATTAGAGGTGATTTGTTTGACGCCCGCAATCACAGTGGGGTCAATGTTATCTTGTGTGGTGGAGCGTTTCATTTGTCAAACTCAATCATGATTCAATGTATTGGATAAATTTGCTCATGTTTCATTCGTCTCACCTAGATGGAGAACAGGCGTTCTCGAATCTAGGTACTGGTGCTGTTTTGCTTGGTGTACGTGGATCATAAGATTATTTCCTATCGCCAATTTACAAGTGCAGGCCGGATCGGGTTGTGTCCACGATTTTCAATCTGTTTGCGTAGGGAGACAGTTGTATTTCCTGAAGGCATGAACCAACGCATATGGCCGATTGGTTTGCAGGCCTGCCTGCGAATCATGAGGTCCCGAGTTCGAGACACGCGCTGGCAGCAGGGAGCGTGTAAAAAGACTTTTTACGCGTGTTGAACTGCGCCGACACCCACGGTCAACTGGGTACTCACAGCTCGGAGTGAGGATAACACGGATGCAGTTTAGGGTTATGGGCCGTTACACGCAGGATTGGTTGAGAGACTCACCTGCTCTCCCCTGACTCACTTGTGGAGGTCTGCATTCGCCACTAAGGTGTAAAGGCATAGTGGTGGCCTGCGGAAGCGAAGGCTATATCTTGTGTGTTTCTGAACATTCAAGTGATGCTATCGCGGATCCCGCGAATATTATTATTATTATGAACGATAGTCGCCTTCACAAAGAATGAAAACAGTTTCTGCCAGACTACTGTAGTTATTTTTTCCTAAATGCAAGGTTTAAAATCCATCAAATCCTCGAATAGTTGTTCACCCCGATCACTAAGATGGAGCACACACTGCAGGAGTACAAACCTCGGGCTCTTCTTCAACACCAACATCTTGAGAAAATCTTGTTGGTAGAGGGTCTACCGGAAAGCAAACACAACTCCTCCTGTGCTGTACTGATTCACTCTTTTTTCCGTTTTCTCCAGGACGGCGCCGCGGACCTACGACGTGCTAATGGTCTACAGGGAACAGCGTGACGTAAGCACGATTTGATCATAGTGCTATGGTGCATTCGTGATGAGCATTTCTATAATCAACAAACGGTGAGACTTAGATCTATGTGCCGTATTCCTAAAACTTGAACAACATCTATTCTACTGTCACTCATCACGACGAGACAATACATGGTATTATAAGACATACCTTGATTCTCACTGCCATTGACTGCAGTGGTGGGAGCAACGTCCTGAGCAGCTGCACCGTTCACAATGAATTCATGCCATTGCAGGATACCCAGAAGGCACAGTGTAATCGGGATATTCCCGAGTCTAACCATTGTGGAATTGTCCTTAATGATCGCTCGATTTCACACACAATTGCAATCAGATCACAGGGATAAAATCCAAGTTTGTTACAGAGGCTTGAAAGGCGACTGGAGGAAAATATTCGTCAACAGTTCCTTATCATTCGTGATGCTGCAGCGGCGACTGTTCAAGTCAGCATGCAGACATCGCTGCGGCACATAACCCCAAGTATAGCAAAATGTATGGTGACCTTGTGGGCACTAGTGCTGCTGAACGTGCATAGAGACACAGCGCTACCTCGAAACAATCCTGAACACCGTCCTTAGGGATATCAACTGATTTCCAGAACATTCTCGCACCCATTGATACAGTATGGCAGAGGCAGTAAGAGCAGCAAACATCCAAACGTCACTCCGTTCTGCCATGCAGCTCCCCTGTTCATGCACAAACATGGTAGTGACCTCGGATGTGTTTACGATAGCAAATATTTGTGCTGACGTGATGTATCCTTGTTCACTGAGCCGAGAGTGCCAGTAACCTGGCATATGCTTATGATAGCAACTTTCGTGTGTTGACGTAATATCCACAGGGCCAAGAATGTCAACAACGATCAACTGAATGTGCACATAGACAATAACATTCATTGATGATAGGCAGCTGATTTGGATCCGTATGCAAGGTTGTGTTGCACGTTTTTTGGGATGTGTCACATCCTAGACTACAGATGTCAGGCTTACTCAAAACAGGGAGTGTGGAAGGGATTTTACATCTTCCGACGTCAGCAACTGGATTTCAGTATGTAGCTTAAACACGCCTAAAACCAGTATGTTATAATCTTAGTGTGCACAATTTATCCCCGTGTTGGCGCTTTGAACGTTTGTACGAGTGCGGAATCATGCGTCTTCTTTTCAGTCTCCGTATAAATCGTGCTTTCGTTTTCAAAATAGTTCTCGGCACTCAGTTTTCTCTCTCTGATGAGATATTGGTGATGGGAACGGCGGTATGTGGAGGAAATTGTATTTACCCATATCTACGACTTGTAATCATGTTTCTTTTGTCACTCACAGGCCTGCACCATTATACATGCCTGTGCACACACATCACATACCCCACCGCCCCTCTCTCTCTCTCACACACACACACACACACACACACACACACACACACACACACACACACCATGTACCATGTATACGCCCGTCGCAAGAGAAGCACGCAAATCTGCAAATGCACTGGATGTGCACCCACAGATTTTCTCTTATAGCAACGATAGCGAACAAGATCTGAATGAGACAGCACGCTGCTTTGAAAGAAGCAGACACTAGATGCACTGGTACCTTGAAGTGAAATTGGAGTTACTTTACCAACCCGCCTCGGCTACTGAGTACTGGGAACCCAGAGCCAACAGACATACCAACAACCTCAGCCATGAAAGCTATTATAATAACGACGCAATGGATTGACGGAGCCGAAACTAGTCAAACTTCCAAAGCTTTGGCAAGAAGGTAGCCTTCGAACAGGTTGGACACACACGCACACACGCACACACTCACTCACACACGCGCACACTCACTCACACCTGCACACACACACACACCGCCATCTCTCTCTTTCTCTCTCTCCCCCTCTCTCTCTCTCTCTCTCTCTCACACACACACACACACACACACACACACGCACGCACGCACACACACACACTCACTCACATACTGTTAAACACAGACCCACTCACACAAACATACGCTCATCACAGAACAAACCACTGCAGTGACAGCCACAGCCAGGCTTGTGGCACTCTTGTCTCCAGATTGTAGACAAAAACTCCAGCAAAAACAACACATCATAGGGTGACAGCGTTGTGCAAGGAGGATCATACAGAAAAGTACTACAATCCACAGATCACCCGCACATATCACTCCTTGCAAAATTTATAACCTATGCTGTACCCTGACCTATACTGTAGCAGCAATATTGAGAAATTTATCAGACAGAGTAACCCAGCACTGTTACTATCATGACTCCGGTGAGAAATCATACAAAGCTCCTCATTGGGAGGGAGGGTTGGAAACCAGCTGGCAATGCAAGGAAACCAAAGGATGCGGAACTGCGGCGCACCAGTACGCCCAATACACAGTGTTTCTGATAATTCGAAAACATCAGTTGAGCTTTAGTACGCGGAGGAAGATTGTGCCTGCAGAGCACCACTTTTACAGTCCATTCATTGGAAAATGGTACGCAAACATTTTGGTGTCTCCCGCGCATAGTTGTAGATATCGTGAAAACAACAGTACATCCTGCATTGTGTGAACTGTGCAATTACTCCTTGCCAAATTTGAGGCCAGGTTATACAAAATCAGGACAGGTATGCCGTGGCAAAATGTACGGAAAAGCAGATCCCAAACCCAGATTTTTGAGATTAAAAGTGCGTTTTTATCCTCAATTCGGCGCAAATCGGACTTTCAAAAGCCTGCTGGACTGTTTCCGATGAATGGACGGTAGTGCACTCCAGATACAAGGAAATAACCAGTCCCAATTCATCAGCCCGCTACTCCGGCTCCCCGCTGTATTGTCATATCTGTCCCCTTGGTTCTGTCATCATTCATCACCCCTACAAGTTCATGTACGTTCTCTGCTGCACTATGCACTTAAGTATAGAACATAAAGAAGGATACAAACTTGCAGTGACTCTCCGCTTCCTTTTCGGCAAACAACTCGTGAACACCAGATAGCAGCTAGTGTGATGCCTGTCGTGAGTCAGCCAAATGTCAAATCAAGTAGGCGGAAAGGGACAGGGTCAAGCGTGGGGAGCTTTAATGATCACACTAAATTTTCCTAAAATCCGAACCTCAAGGGATGTTTGGTTTGCTGCCCTCGTTCATTCCACTATGTTACACTAATACAGAATGATGAGACTAGGGCCCACAACCATACACACAGTACTCCGACGGAAAAATGTACTGGCCTTGTTGTACCGTGCGAGAGACACTCACAATTACACTTAAGACTTCCGCGGTATTTTTGTGGCCACTAAATCTGGTAGAGTTATATACTGCTCAATTAATCTAAACAACTTAGGCGGAGAATTGGCTATTCCATACGTATCATCATATATATCATCAAAAGCTTGGGAGGCTTACGTGTCGTAGTGGGCCAAATATCATGCTGGGTAGCTAACTAGAACAGTGATTGAAAACAGAGGACTTGTAGATGTACTGGGTGTAAGGAATTATCGTTAGGTTATAATTGTTATTATTTTGCACTACGAGCGTGATTGTGGGCTCAAAAAATTATATATACTTCAGTAATTATAATTATATTTCGCTCCTGCTCTTGTAGCAGTTGAGCACTCTTGCGTGGGGTAGTGCCTTTGCTGTTTGCATTATGCAGAGCTCACTGACTAGTCAGTTTGAGCACTCTGGCAAGGTACGTTCGGGCCTGATTGGAAATTTGTATTTCCATTGCTATCAGGTTCGGCCTCATTTTCTCTGTGCTGCGCTGATGAGTTCAAAAAGAACGAAACAGCATGCTGTCCGCAGATTGAGTATTTCGCTCCTGCTCTTGTAGCAGTTGAGCACTCTTGCGTGGGGTAGTGCCTTTGCTGTTTGCATTATGCAGAGCTCACTGACTAGTCAGTTTGAGCACTCTGGCAAGGTACGTTCGGGCCTGATTGGAAATTTTTATTTCCATTGCTATCAGGTTCGGCCTCATTTTCTCTGTGCTGCGCTGATGAGTTCAAAAAGAACGAAACAGCATGCTGTCCGCAGATTGATTATAATTATATATATATGCGCCTCCTTTGCACCATGGCTGGTAGCTCGGCCTATTTAGCTCGTAGCTGTACTGATGAGGCCTTTATGGCCGAAACAGCTTGCTGTCTACAGCATTGGGTATATATATATATATATATACTCAATCTGCTATATCTGTGTGTGTGTGTGTGTGTCCGTGTGTGCGCGCGCGCGTGTGTGTGTGCGCGCGCGTGTGTGTATGTGCGTGCGTGTGAGGGAGGGAGGTTCACTGCACGTCAAAGCAACGAACAGAAATTCTCAACACGAAATTGACAGGCTAACTGCCCTGTCGTAGTTAATAACCAAGTAATTGACAGGGAGGTTTTGGCACGTGTCAGACAAACGCACACGCGTGAGTGCAGTTTAGTCCTACCTGGTGAACAAGCTACTACTCGTCTGGCTCATTCAGTACAGGCAGTGGAGGCAATCCATAGGCTCTGAAACTGTGAAACAGTGTTGGTTTAGTGACACCTATCTGTCACGCAGCAGCGTAGTAGCCCCATGGTCTGCGCGAGAAACGGCGGCTGTTCAATACGGTGCATTTCCAGTGTCCCCTGTAATGAGAGATGAATGCGTAGAATATAATAGGATCTCCAGTGCTATCTCCGGTGCTAACTCGGTGCTACGCAACCTTGAACCTTCCAAGTTGGAAGGCTGTTGGTTTGCGCACTGGAGATGTGTTAGAGCTAGGTCTCAGGTCGCTGAATGTCTCAGTAGCCTGTCAGTTTTGTGCCCTGTTATCGACGGTTCTGATTCTTTATCATCTTGTTACATTCGTGGGTAGTTGCTGCATAACTCGTTCTCATGGGTTTCTTCTCTTGGTTTTGCATCTCATGTGATGAATGTTATAGCATAGCTTTGTGCAAGAGTGTCTGCGGGCTAAACCTAGTCAACACTGGATCGTGTCGAGTACTCCAGTAAATGTACTCTTGCGTCGGCTAGGGAGATGGTTAGTGACTGTATTCAATAAGATATCGTTGGTGGTATGCGCATTCGTTCTTCTCTTTACCAAAGACCACTTCAATGGCAAACGTGAACTGCAGATGAGGGAGCACGGAGACCATGAATAGTGGGGTTGAGACTTCGTGAGCTCGGCTCGTCCGTTGTCTCGATTTCATGGCCGCCCTCGAAAGAGTGCTCAATGCACCGGGGTGCAGAGCTTCATACAAAAAGAATAGAATGGGATACGGAGCTTGGGTTGGCTGTGACTCAGAGTTTCTGGTGTACTAAAGGCGCACAACAATTCGGTCTTGCGGAAGAAGCAGAAAGATGATCAACAGAGAACAGAGAAAAGATGAAACTGCAGGGATAAAGTTAACTGCCCCATGCATGGAAACTGCCAGATCAAGTCAATCGTATACAAGGCCAGCGTGACAGAA